TATCGAAAAGTTATGTCGAAACATCTATAACTTCTTTTTCCATAGTCCGAAACGAATTGGTGACTTTAAAGAGGTTCAGGAATACTGTAACGTAAAACCGCACAGAATACTCGGGATATCTTTCACTCGATGGCTTGCGTTAGGAAACGTCATTACAAGGCATAACGAGCAATGGCAAGCGCTCCAGCTTTACTTCCTATCTTCATGTCTCGAAGTTAATGGCACACGTGCCCGCGAAGTAGCTCACTCAATCGCAGATGTCGAATTAAAAGTATACATGCTGTTTTTGTCCTACATATTAAAAGTAATTAACAATTTAAACAAAGAGTTCCAATCGGAAAAGGCTCGGCTGCCATTTTTGTATTCCCAACTGGAAATATATTTTAAATTAATTTTGGACAATTTCAAGCAGAATAATTTTGTCAAAAATACTACGTATCTGAAAAACTTCCGACATTTACAATGAATAAAATTTTCTACCAATAAACGACATTTTCATCGGAAATAAAACACAACCATCTCTAACAACCGACACATTTCCGAATCGCAAAAAATAACGATTAAGACAAATATTTTAAATTTGTATATGAGAGCGTATCGGTAACAAAGTTCGCGGCGAGTAATTTTTTTAAAACTATGATGTGAACAAAATTTCAGTAGCTCATGAAATTTTTGGCAAATGCATAGACAATTTTGATAATAGCAAAGATTGTTGATGTGTGTAATTTTTCGTTAAATAAAAGCTTAAATTGATGAATTGTAATCAACGATGGTAGATGTTTTCTTAAAATATTAATTTCACTTCAATTTGTAATATTTTATTCCGCATAAATCTGCGGTTATCAAAAATTTACTGCTATAAAAAAGATTTAATTTCACACAGCAGATTGGCAAAACTGTCTCACCATAGTAAAAGTATTATTCAACAGCTTTCCCCATAGAGCTTTGTTACCGATTCACACACGCCCTGAGTTTTTAAATCAGCTACAAAAAAGTTTCGATTTTGGAAGAGAAGAACTAAAAAACGTATATTTATCACACCTAACAAAGTATTATCTGAAACACAACTATTTACAAAGCCTCTTATACAAAAATTTGAACATTTAATTCAATGGGATATCGATGTGTGACAGTGGGAGCTTTTAAAGCTTACAAACACTGATCTTAAAAGCGATATGGACGTTTGTTTTTTTTTTTGGAAAAAGTAAGTTTGCATACAAATGGAATAGAAGAGGCTTGCTTTAAAGAATTGACAAATTTTATATTTAATTTGCTGTATCTTCCACATAGTTCGGCGGCTGCGGAACGCAATTTTTTCGAACTTTCATTAGTAAAGACTAAATTCTGAAATAAACTGGAGTTCAACACAATAAATCACATTATGATATCAAAAAAGCTTTGTTTAAAAACGCAAATTCCCATTACAGTTTGTCAGCAAAAGAAGTAAAATGATATTCTTTATTGTTAATGCGACTAAAATTTCTCGTGATTTCACTCATCAATGTTACATACAGATGTATGCATACATAAGTATACAGTTTTTCCACAAAATTCTGAATTATGCGTTCGTTTTTATTTGCCGATATTTCGACTTCAGTCTGAAGTAATCAGGACTGAAAAAATACATTATAACAATTAAGTAGCTGTTAGACGTGGCAAGTGCAAGTCCGTTTCACAAGTCTGTCAAACTCAGGAATTTTCAAAAGAGATTGCAGGAGCAGTTACTCCCTGCAAATAAAGTGGCTTTCGAAAGTAGTTTTTATTTCTGAAAATCTAACTTTACGGTACTACTTTTTGTAATTATCTGAAATTTTCCTAGCATCACAACGAATTCTCCACCTTTACATCGTCCAAAATCATCAGATCAGTAGTATTGATTTGTCTTCTGCATTTTGACTATAAGTAATCTGGTGGGAACCTATCTTCGAATCCTTATTTACTTAACCTTCTTACTTATATCTACAATCTACTTCTTCCTATCTAAACTATCTTTTGCTTTGCTAGTATTTATTTATCACTTTAAGCACGAATATTGATTATTTTCTATAGTAATTATTATTATATATTTATTATTATTTTTTCTATTATTTTATTGTAATTTGTTATAGTAAGATTTTAAATATTAGTTGATGTGCATATAAAAGACTGCATTGTCTTAGTTGTACAAATATTTGTAACAAATAAATTGAAATTGAAATTGAAATTGAAAGTGCAAAATTTCGCCGAAAAAAATTCAAATTTTTCGCGTTCTTCCAGAATTTTCCGAGTTTTCCACTAAGAATTTTATATATTTCCATTCGAAAAGCCCTTCCGAAGTGATTGCACACAAAATTCCATACAAAAACCTTTTCCGGGCAATTAAGAACAACCAAAAAGAAATTTGAGCCAAATCGGCCCAGCCGTTCTCAATTGATGAATTACTATAAATTTTTCACACCATTTTTATATATATAGATTAAACAAGGATTACGATGGTGTAATTTTAAATCCCTAATTTACTGGTATTCACTATGCAAATCAACTTCAAAAACTTTAACTGCTAATAGCTAAGTTAACTTTAGGACAATCATGACCATCTAATATATAGAGGTGTTAAGCCCATTTCTTTAGCTTTGAAACGACGTTAAGATGAAGTCTCTACGACGAGCAGAACCCGATAATACAATTTGAAAAAGTGCATGATTAGGCAGGATCACGAAAAAATCTAAACTTTGACAGATGTTATCTCCGCAGAAAAAAATTCCTCGCATTCGTGTTAGCTTATTTCATGTATAGAACCCATTAAAAAAATTCAAGCCAATCGAAAGTGTGACACCAAATTTGGTGTCCAAAATGAAAAAGAATGCCTCTAGGAAAACGAATAGAATGACAGAATACAAGATTGCGCCCATTAGAGGATTTTTGAGCGTAATTTTTGCTTGACGTCATTTTGGTAGAATTGTGAGAGAGGCAAGTAAAACGAGCAGGAAAAAGTGTAAACAATGCGGAAAAATGTGTTAATATCAATATACAAACCGCTAAATTCTGTGTGTTTTTGATACATTTTTTTTTAAGAAATTGGATCAAGATTTTTATCAAGTAAAAGGTCCTTTCGCATTCTGTGTCAATATTTTTAAAACAAAAAGCTCTACGATTTCCACGTGAGGGAAACTGATCTCCACATGAGTGGAACTGATTTCAATGTCACATATGAATTTAAAAGCATTTGACTGCCGTAGCCGAGTAGGTAGAGATATCGACTGTATGTAATTCCGTGTTTCGCCGGTTCAAATGCCAGCACATGCAATATTTAAATGATGGAAACAAATCCTCTAATGAGCGTGCGTGAATCGGTAACAAAGTAGCTCATGAGGCTAGTGAAATTTTTGACGAATGCATAGAAAATTTTGACAATTGCAAAGATTGTTGATGTGTGTAATTTTTCGTTAAATAAAAGCTTAAATTGATGAATTGTAATCAACGATGGTAAACGTTTTCTTACAATATTAATTTCACTCCAATTTGTAAAATTTTATTCCGCATAAATCTGCCGTTATCAAAAATTTAATGCTGTCAAAAAATATTTAATTTCACACAGCAGATTGGCAAAACTGTCTCACCATAGTAAAAATATTATTCAACAGCTGTCCCCATAGAACTTTGTGGAAATTTATAATTTTCACTTGAAATTTCAATTTGTAAACGCTTTTCAATAGCATTTTCCATGATAAAAAAATAAAGTAGAGGAATTTTTCAAATTCTTGACGTTGCAATCAATTTAATTTTAAAATTTTACACACAGTCTCACACACACATTCTCAATTTCAAACTCAAACAACAACAACTTTGAACAATTCCTTTTTTTGCCTTCCTTTTATTAGCTCGGGATGTAACTATGTAATATTGATGCGCCTAAAAGATGCAGCGATTTCTATTCTCAAGTTACATACTTGATGACAGTACGAATGGCAATTATAATAGGGAGGTTTTAGTCTTTTAAACTATAATTTTATTTTTACTCTCAATTTTGTATGATTTTAAAATGTTGGCAAACTTCAAAAAAAAAAAAATCATGGCCGACGAATTTAGAGAACGGTTTTACCTTACTATGTTTTTATCATGGCATTTTCAATTTTGATAATTTATCAATAGAAGAGCTTTTGATTCCTGTGCTAGAATACCAGTTCTTGATAAATAATAAAAAATTGACATATTATAAAAATTTTTATTTTGTCAAGTGCACAGAATCGGGAACACGTAGCAATGATTTTGGGCATGTAGCCCTTTAGGTAAGCCCGATTTTCAGCACATGCCGGATGTTGGAAAAATACATGAAGTTATATGTATGTTGATATGTACAGAAAAAACTTATATCGCACGATTGCCTTTTGATTTCACTTTCAAAATTTGCCACTGCACACTTCATTTTGCCTTGTAATGTTTCAATAATTGTGTAAAACTACGCAGAAATATTAACGCACAAATAGTTAAATTGGAAATATTTAGTTATTTGTCCGCTGTTCTTGGGTTAGTGCGCGTAGGGGGAGGGGGCGTGGGTCTTGATATCCAACCCATTAGATAAAGCACAGTTCACACTTTGTAAAAAGTCACACGTGATCCCTTGAAACCTTCCACAGACCACAACAAACGGTTCCACAGCAACAACAACGGACCACAGACGGTTCAAAAACGCCCTATCTCACAAAATTTTTCAAAAACGTCTTATTTCAGAATTCGGTTGAAAAACGCCCTATATCAGCTGCCGCTTCAAAAATATCCTATATCAACATATTTTCAATATATTTCCAGTTGAGATAGGGCGCTTTGGAAACAAATTCTTCAACGAAATTCTGAGATAGGGCGTTTTTCAATAAAATTTTGAGATAGGGCGTTCTTCAACCAAGTTCTGATGTTGGGCGTTCTTGAGCCATTTCCTGAGATAGAGCGTTTCCGATTCGGCTGCCGAGATAGCTCGATCATCCACTCAGCCTTTCATATGTACATACATATATATTACTTACGCAATATTCAGCATTTGCAAATTCGTTTGACTTTTCAATTGATTTGATTGTAATGGATCCATTCAATTCAAATTTTAATTGCTCGCGAGCCATTTTTTCCAGCTCATTTTTATTATATCCATGTTTCGATTTCATTATATTTGAGTGTGGTGGCAATCCCGCAGGGCTTGTGTCATGTACTCGTATACCTATTGGCAAAATGTTCTCATTTATATTATCAAGAAGCTTATTATTGTAACTTAGTGCTGGTGGCGTATATATGGGAGAAAAATCTGGTTTAATGCGTCGTATAGCATCCATTACAACGTCTCTTTGATCACCAGTAAATATTGATCGATCCATTATTTGATTTAAAGTTATGCCCTGTAACAAGACATATTTATATAAATACATACATATATAAGCATGAAAAAATTTAATCATATACATTTTTTTCTGCCATTCGCGCGAACTTTTTAATTTCCTTGATATTTTCCTCTGTAGAAACTAAGCGTCCTAGACATTCGAATATAGCGGCAAATGTTTGTTCATTAAATCTCAATTGATCTTCTTCGATTAACGCGAAAAGGTCTTTAAATCGTTCAAAGGAACCGTTTTCTCCTAAGCCGTGGAGCAGAATGTTGTAAAAATCAATTGTAATGAGGCTGCGAGTTTCAGACTTCTTCTTAGCCCTTTGTCTATATGCTATCAATGTAGAAATACCACGGTGGACCATACCCGCCGAAACACAAACGTTAAGGTATGACTCCAGGTTAATTCGAAGTGCTTTTTCTTTTGCAAATCGCTCTTGTTCTTCACTGTTATGGATTTTCGACTTGAACCTGGAAACATTATTAGGTATACATGTAAATAGCAATTGTATAAAGGATGCTTGCCTGGAAACCAAGCAATATTTAAGTGTAAAAAAAACCTTGTTTAAGTTTTTAATAAATAAGTATAAATAAAAACCTTGTGTTAGATTTTGTGACGGCAACAGCTTGAGCTTCAGCTTCAACTTTTTCTACAATTTTAAGTTTTATTGCATTTAGCTCACGATTTGGAGATGAAACATGAGGCTCATTAGCCACTAAAGGATCCAGTAAGTCTTCGGCATCATGTTCTTTTACGACATGGCAGCTGTAGAAAATATAATAAATAAACTTCATTATTTATGATCCACGCAAATTTTCATGAAATTTTAAACTCGGAAATATTAGTTCGGGACATATCGTCGCTGAAATACAAAATGCCGTAACTTACTAAAAATCCAAAACTCACATTTTGATTGGTTACATGATGCATTTCATCGAATTATAAATCCCCACATCCAATAAAAATTTTAGTTAGTTACGGCTTTTTTTCTTTTCAACGACGATGTGAGATAGAGCCTTTCTATGTTAAGGTAACATATGTAAATACGGGTGGCAACGAATACACCCAGCGGGATAATTATAAGACCAATATTAATACTTCGTTAACACAGTTTAAAAAAAACAATAATAATAATTTCAAAGTATTGCAACAAAGTCATATGATCAGTCTGTGTTTTATAGCGGTCCTACCTTCTATACCAGAGGTGCTCAACAAATTTAAGTTATTGAACCAAACGACAACAACGTAAATTTATATAGAAGGCCCAAGAGCGAATCAGCGTGGAAATTGTCAAATACCAACAAAACTGGCGAAGCGCATTTTAAGAGCGCCCAGCCAGAGGCAAACAAATTTTAACAGAGCCCAGCCAGAGGCAAAATAAATTTAACAGAAATTGTCTCATCAAAGTAAATGCATGTTTTCTTGTTAGACAACGAAATGCTGACGGCTTTTTGCGGTTTTGTTCTTTAAATTGGTTAATTACTTAAAATAAATGCATGCGTAGAAGTCGAAATTATTCCTACTATATGTAATATGTACATATGAATGTATGAATGTATGAACGTATGTACGGTACGAATGTTAAGTGCTTTGGTTTGAATTTTCTTTTTCGCGGCATTGATTTAATAAAAAAAAAGATGAAAATTTTACATATATGAAAATTCTTGTTCGAAGATATGTGCCAGGGTATGCTTTCACTGGAAAACGTAGATAGGTATGTTATCTAATAAGTGAAAGTTATGCAAATACGTATGCAATTGGCAAACTCGTTGGTGATTTGCCGTCGGCATTTAAAGGCGAAGAAAAAATCGGTTTTTATATTTTTAACGATTCTAATGGTAGTTAATACGCTCTTTTCAATGCAACAAACCGCAGTTTTCTAGCTACCTTAGTTTTTTCACAAATCCACTTCAAAGATGGATTGATTGCACTGCACGTGTTAACTTCAAAGTTGTTTTTCTCTGGAAAAGTTGTTTATTTTAAGAAAACATGTTCCATGATAATTTTTTACTGCTATACTCGTAATATGTATATGTAAATAATGGGGCATATTAATAGTTAAAATAAAGTCGACTCTTAAGTTAGTTACAGCTTTTTTACATCACTTTCAGTGGAATAGGCACCTGTGAAAAAAGATGCAACTAACTTTATTCTTATTTGGGGCTGACAAACTTTAACTTAGAGTCGACTTTATTGCGTGTACGAATATGCCCCAATAGTTTTGGGGTCAAATGAAATTGCATTTTCCACGCATATGTATGTACATACTCCATTAATTGATAACGTTATTACATGCATATATATGTATGTATGTACATATTGCTGCCTACATACTACGCACATGTATACATATCTACATATGCATATGTATGTACAACTCACGGCCGCATACATACATACATACCCAGCAAGAACGACCGAACGCATTCTCCAATACAATTACAAAATTGTCAATAAAAACCAACACATTTGCATATTAGCCATATCCATATGCTATTATTTGCGTTATATAACGCGTTATTAATCGCATAATAATATTTGATTGAAAAGAGACAAATATATATGAATAATATAATAGCGTTTTCCATGTAAAAGAAAGAAAAAACTGCTCACACGTGAAACGATAATGCGTTAGATTTCTCCAGGAGCCCTATGTAAAATGATGGAAAGTTTTTGAATTTCTCACACTATTTGTACTACTAGGCGTATACTCTATATCCAGTAAAATAAGTTATCTCGAATTTTGGTAATTTTTGGAAAACACTCAATTTCTCTTATCCCAACCAATATCTCAATCATTGACTAACATTTTAAGGTGTACTTTTAATAAACATTAAATAAAGGTAAACGTTTTCTGCAGGAAAAGACAATATTTTTTTTTTTAATAAAGTCAAAACTTCTAAAATCACAAGCATATGTGGCTTTATCGGAAGTTCACAAATGTAACGTGGCAACTTAGCTCGTTTTCACATTTTTCGGTCCGAAATTGTAAAATTTTTGCCCATGACGCGCCACGATTTTTGTACAGGTGGGTCAATATGCCTTGAACACCATTTGTATAAATGCAAAAAAAAATGTCTTTGTTTATTTCTTAACTTTAAAAATTTCTATACTTCCAAGCGTTTATAAATATATATTTATATATATAAACAGATTATTTTAAATTTTTTTCATCCGAAACCAAATCTTCAGTACCATAAAAAGATTCAAACACATCAAAGTACAATCAATGCGATGTCCAAGTTAGTGCTACTCCACTGTATATGTATGTATGCATGTATGCGTGTAAAAATGTCAATTCAATTTTGCGTTTAACCCATTTTAGCGGACATAGTTTTTTTGGTTACAGCTGTTAATAACACACTATTTTTCAACGCTTTTTATGTTTAATCTTCATGAAAGTTACATGTATCGTCCAGAACATGGTTACATGTAGAATTTTAAATTAATTATATTATTCTCCATACAAAATGTACAAGTATAGCTTTATTGAATGCAAAGTTGTGCGAAAATCTAAATATTTCGTAAACGTAGGGTTAATGGTTTCGCGGACGGCCCATCTGGTGCCGATACGCAGAAATTTAATAATTTGTGTTGATGGAAGCGGCGAGGGGAAGGCGAAAGCAGATCAATCGTGTATATGTATGTACATATTTACATTTATAATTGCATGAAATTTACAAATATGTGCTTTATAAATTTAGGTTTAGTAATTAATTAGATATGTAAATGACAATGTGGGGGACAAATATGCACATGAGTAGCGAAGCTGCCACCTATCCAATGGCGACTTACACGACTTTATTAGAAAATATTTGAAAACTGAATTATTTCCATAAATATTGAAAAAGTTGAAAAATTTCGTAAATAGTTTCGGCTTAGATTAGCGAGATCTTTACGAATTGCTGGGAACATCCGACGTTTTCAGATTTTTAGTATTTAAAAAAAGTTTCCAAGTCGAAAATAATTAAGAACTGAATTATTTCCATAAATATCGAAAATATCGAAAAATTCTTACAGACTTTCGACTTAGTTTTGGGAGATCTCTACAAAAAAAAAAATGAAAAATAATTCTTTTCACAGTTTTTGTTTTTTCCCCAAAAAAATTCAGAGTCGAAAAGATTTTAAAACTTGGTTATTTCCATAAATATCGAAAATTTGGAAAAATGCTTAAATAGTTTCGGCTTAGTTTAGCAAATCCAAAACCAATATAGTTTTTTTTTTTTGAAAATAGCACCAAAATTGGAAAATGTTATATAATATTTTCGATTTATTTTAACGTAGTTTGTACAAATCACCGGAAAGAAATTATTTTTCCCCAAAAAATCTAATACCAATAAAGTTTTTCCATACAAAGTTTGAAAATCTAACAAAATATTACAAAAATCGAATCGAATAGAATCGAATCGAAAAATGCTATATAACATTTTTGATTTATTTTCACGGTATTCGTAGAAATCACCGGATAAAAGGATTTTCTTTACCAAAAAATCTTTTCACAAAAAAACACACACTTATGGGAGTTTTCTGTTTGCAATCATTAATGAAATATCACAAAAATCGGAAAATGTTATATAATATTTTCGATTCAATTGCATGTTACTTGTACAAATCACCGAAAAGAATTTAATTTTTTACTAAAACAAAAATCTAACACTTGGGTTTTCTATTTGAAAATTTTCCCAAAATATCACAAAAATCGTCAATATTCATATTTAATTAACATTTCAAACGCTCTCGTGAGATCTAGCTATGTTAATATTCTCCTTTTCTGCTTTGTATTTTGCTTTCGCTGTTAAGTATTCCAAATATTTGTCGCTCTTAAAATGCGCTTCGCTTGTTTAGTTGGCTCGAAAAATGTGGCATTCACAGTTTTCGGTCCTTCTCTATACTTTACGTTCTCTGGTAAATACCAATTACAATAACATAGTTCTGGGAATTGCAAAAAATATATCAACCCCAAAATAACAAATCAATGATACAAGCAGTGTTGCCGCAGCCACATGTTTTTTTCTACCAAAATTTCCTACCACAACCAACCAAAACCTACCAAACATATTTTTAAGTCTTTAATATTTTTTTCAATGTTAAGTTTATTAAAAATATAGATAAAATAAAATTTAGTAAAACTTAAATACAGCTAATACAATACAAACAATTTAACTGTGTATAACAATTCATTTTACTGTACAGACTTATCCCAATGTATGTCTCTTTATTATTATTATTACGTCGGAGATACTCGCGCTGCGACCTAAGAAGATATATTGTGCTAAACCCTAATTGTAATCACTTCAACCTTAGGCTATTTAAAAAGCTAAGCACTTTGGATGATGCCATGTTCTAAATTTTAGATAGAGAAGACAGTCGTTCTCCAATATGTATCAATCTGCGATTCATGCTTCGTGGGCAGGCACATAGAATATACTCTGGTGTTTCCTCCACCAGTCCAAAAAACATACCGTCCGCCTCTACAGAAAGACCCACCTAGTTTAAATAGTATGTTAACTTGCTGTGTGCTGTCAGGTATCCAGTAAGGGTTTTATGTTCAAGGAGTATTTCGGAGTTCCTCCTGGAAGGAGCTATGAATCTCTTTGATTATCATATTCGCTTTGACTTCCGCCAGTGGGCAGTAATCTGAGATTATTCCCAGCTAGCTCCTAAGTAGTTCTGCAGTGTATCCTGCAGATGTACCACTGATTAGCTCGGGACCATGCAAGCGCATTTGATCTCCACGCTTTGCGAGTCAGTCAGCCCTGTAGTTGCCTTCAAACCCTTCACGTCCCGCAACCCACCACAGCGTTACGCTATTGTGGGCGCCCAGGAGGTTCAAGAGCTCACAAGCCTTGATGCCGTTGAGTCGCCGAAGAGTCTAAGGTCTTTAACGCAGCCTGAATGTCCGACATAATATTTATTCTGGCCTCATTTGCCTTCTACGATGACATTCGCGAACACAGACTTCGATTGGGAGGAGCTCCACCTAGAATATGGTTGAGTACGAGCCCATTGGCAGACTTTTCTGAAATCTTGGTCCAAGTATGCCATAAAGTATATATGGAGTTCATATTGTATATCGGCAATAATCTATATATATATAAATGTTGTGTTCGTATGTCACGGTCGTCAAAACTCGCGAACGGCTGAACCGATTTGGATAATTTTGTTTTTGTACTGTTCGGTATAATACCAGAACCAATGATGTCGCAAAAAATTAGAAGGCTGCCACCTATTTGAAAATTTTTAAACCCAATTATATTGATAAAACAAATAAATTTTTACAATATGGGTATCAAATTAAAGAGGTTTAAGAAAGATAACTGCTGGAAATATTTTTGGCGAGGGTTTCCACCTATTTGAAAATTTTAACTCAGTCAAATTGATAAAATTAATGAAATGCTGCAATGTGGGTACAAAGTTAAATAGGTTTAAGAAAGATAACTGCTGGAAATACTCTTGAGGAGGGTTGCCACCTATTTGAAAATTTTAACTCAGTTAAATTGATAACGTAAATAAAATATTGCCATGTGGGTGTAAACTAAAGAGTTTTAAGAAGGCTTACAGCGGAAAATATGTTTGAAGAGGGTTGTCACCTGTTTGAAAATTTAAATAAATTTAATTGACAAAATAAACGGCATATTACAATACAGGTATCAAATAAAGGAGTTTAAGAAGGATGATAGTTGGAAATATTTTGGAGGGCTGCCACCTATTTAAAAATTTTAACTCAGTTAAATTGATAAAATAAATGAAATATTGATATGTGGGTATCAAATTAATTAAGTTTAAGATAACTCTTGGAAATATTTCTAAGGAGGGTTGCCACCTATTTGAAAATTGTAACTCAATTAAATTGATAAAATAAATGAAATATTGCCATGTGGGTATCCAACTAAAGAGCTTTAAGAAGGCTTACAGCCGATGTTTGTGGAAGGTTACCACCTGTTTGAAAATCTAACTAAGTTTAATTTATAAAGTAAATGACATTACAATATAGATATCAAATTAAAGAGGCTTAAGAAATGACTGTAGGAAATATTTTTGAGGGCTGCTCCTTCTTGAAAATTTTAGCTCAGTTAAATTGAAAAAATAATTGAAAAATTTCAATGTTGGTATTAAACCATAGATTTTTAAGAAGGCTTGCAGTCGAAAATATGTAGGAAGAGGTTTGCCCCCTGTTTGAAAATTTAACTCAATTTAATTGATAAAATAAATGACTTATTATAATAAGGGTATAAAAAACATGGTTTAAAAAACATGACTGTTGGAAATATTTTTAAGGAGGGTTGCCACCTATTTGAAAATTTGAACTCAGTTACATTGATTAAATAAATGAAATAATGCAATATGGGTATCAAACTAAAGAGTTTTAAGAAGACTTACAGTCGAAAATATGTTTGAAAAGGTCTGCCATCTGTTTGAAAATAGAACTCCATTATGAAATGTTACAATATGGGTCCAAAACGAAAGGTATTTGAGGAATCTTG